GCGATGCACCAACCGCGACTGCTCGAGACTAACTGAGTGAGTTAAAAAACCGCTGCTGCAACGGCGAGTCCGTCGCCGTTGACCGCCACGTCTCTTTTGTCTCGCTTCCCCCGGCCTTTTTACATTCGTGCGACCAAGGAAGAAGGCATCCATGGTTGCATACGGGAACAACGGTGTCGACGGATCAAAGTCTGCCTGGAAGACGGTAACTAACATCAATTAATGTCAGTAATATCCGGGATGGCGACCGCCCCCTGATTTTATCGTGATTTTTTTTCGTAATTTTTTTTATCTTGATGGAAAACCAGAAAGCTGCGTGTGATTTTGTCCGTAAGTGTTGAGAATTTAACGAACCCTTACCGCGATGTCTTTTAACGAATCGCGAAATAAACTGACATCAACTTCAAAACTGTCCACCTCGAATCTAAGTGAAACAGTGGACTAATGAGCTTAAGGAATTGAATATGAAAGTCACTTTAATGACACTTTGACGACACTAAAACTCAAAATTATAATACAATGCGTTCTCAATAAATTAATAAGACGTTAATGGTTAGAGCCTTGAACCGTCTCACGTAAATGGCTTCAAAGAAATACATCTGTTTGTCGCAATAGCTCGCACAGAAAAAGAGATAAAGAAAAAAAGACTCTTGAGGCGGGTATTCATAGTCTGTCCTTATTTCGAAATCTTAAGTTACGCTTCAAAGTGTTAATAAGGCTCTGATAAGTTTATATCTTAAACCTATGGTAAAACAGTCTTAAATATGAGAACTATGAACTACAAATATCGGATTTAAGACGTACATAAATAAACCTATAACATAAATAGATCGTAAATTATACAAAATTGAAATACTCAAAAAACGTAAACATAGTCAAGGATTTCAAGATGATGATGTACGCAGCAGTTTATGAAAAGCGCTAATTTGTTCAGGCTTTAAAATTTCCGATCAACATTTCTTGAACAACCTTTAGAATTAAGATGTATTACATGTGTGCTAATGAAGAAAATGCCAATAATGTTTTTTTCTATTTTTTTTCGTTTAATCACTCAGAATGTTCGATTGATAATACATCACGTGATTTGTTACTGCTAGAAAGATGGCATTCACGTGTACCTGTATCGAGTCTGCAAAATCGCCTATCATTAAAAACAGTTAATTGATATTATGCGATAACAGACAACGATTATGCGAGCAATTATTGGCAATATCATGCATTAAGAAGTATGCATAATCGAATGATTTTTTTTTTAATATTCGAGCTGAATACATATTCTGAACCGCAGTCTGAACTTTAAACTCCCATTAAAGTGTTAAATTATTAAGATAACATATCGTAACGTAATTCTTGATACAAACGATAATGAAGTTGTTGAAGCTCATTGAAATTGCTAGGATTCGTAATTTGAATGAGATGATTTTAATGATTCCGATGAAAGAACATATATCTCTTCATGCGTTTGAGATAGACTTGAATGAATACAAACGGAATTATGAATACACTTGTGCCCAGCACACTCTAAAAACGTTCGGAGAATATTGCAAAAACAGATTATGATCTGCCTCCATATTCGAGATATATAAAATTATATTTTACAAAAAATGTACTACATCCAATTGTTTTATCTCAGTACTAAGAATGTATTTTAATATATAAATATACAAAGAAAACACTATAGTAAGTAATCATGACTGCGTTTATTAATTTTAAAAATTTCCGAAGCTATGTATGGGAGTTAATTTACACGTCAAACGCTCATTCATAATGCAGAAGAGATACAGAGCGGCTATTATAGTTTTTAAAGGATTACCATTAATCAACAATGAAAATCATTAATGCAACTGACGTAAATACATAATAATTTAATCAGAGTTCAGCAATAGATTAACAATTATAAATTCTAAAGATGAATAAGCATGATTATAATTATCATGATTAATATTTGTATTTTCTAATATCTTCGAATTATTATTATTATAACTGCTGAAATTTTTCGACAGCGTATAATAATGTTAAGAATAGTAAAAATAAATAGCAAACCGTAACTAAAAAAAATTCTTTAAAAAATAAAAATTTCTCTGTATTTTTATCTACATCTCTTAATAAGAATAAGGATACAAATATTGAGATTAATTGTACATTTTGATAAAAACCCGTTTGACGTCAATTGAAACGTGTATTCCGCACGAATATACGATCACCGGAAGACTGAACAGTCAAGCACTGATTATAAACGACGTGATCTGAAGCGAAATTCTATTTTACGTCACGGACACGCTTGTCCGTTCATTAAATGCAACTTATATTTTTTGCGCGTTTGCTCGGGCACAATGCGTTGTTGAAACCGGTATATTATTTCAAATTGAAGTTTTGGCACAATATAATGTCTTATATATAAAATGCAATAATAGGAAAGTAAAAATAGTAATAATAAAAAAAGAAAAATAAAAAAAGAATCGAAATCGATACATGCATTTTTTCAAAATCATTAAAAAACATATATAAATCTAAAAGCAGATATTAAAAGCAGATTATAAAAATCTACGTAAATGACTTTTTTTGGATTGTTTTTTTAAAATAATCGATCGAACAAGTAAAAAGGTTGCCGAAACACGACAGCGAGTTTTTTCAGCAAATTAATAAATAAAACAATTATAATAACAATTAATCCTTAAGAAAGAAAGGATAATATTATATATAATCGATATCAGATTAAAATATCCTTTTTAATCATCAGAATTTATATAATTTGTTATATCCACATTTAATCATTATAAATGTCATCAAATCAGTCCACAGAGCATGAAAAAATCTGATAAAACATGCGTACATTTAAATATCATTTTAAAGGTAGTAAATTCGCCGAAGAGCACTGTCAAGAAATTTGATGACGCACGTTGAAATTACTACGTGTTTTGTCTGTTAAATCGTCAACGTTGCTATATGCATATGCCCGCGTACAATATAAAATGATTTGAATGCGTAAGCTATATCGTGGCACGAACCATTTTTTTTTTTCCATTGAAGCTACTCAAAACTCTTACAAATTGAGAGAAAAGCATTCAAGGAAATAATATATTGCTTACCTCATACGATTTCATTTTACCTTCGTTGCTATCTCGTTTACGTAACTAATAATAATTCATCATGCAATGAGAATTATGAGGTAATCTTCTCTTCGTCTCTTTAAGTCACAGTACGAGACGCAATCGTTTGTCTATTTCGATTTGTACGAAGACGAGATTTTTATTATTTTTAAGGAAGGAAACCGAGAAAATTAGAGACGATAGGTTTTTAATTTCAATCTTTAGTTGCTGATAAGTTCAAAAGTGTTTCGTAATAGCGGAAATTCTGTGCACGTCTGTCGCGAACGTGATTCTTTTGCCGATAGCTATCTTCTCTTAGCTGGAAACCTCACGACAGAATTATACGCGGAAAAGCATGAGCAATTGCAAAATCCGCAAAGAAAATTAGATAATTAGAATTAGAAGTAGACAAAGTGTAATCTTTTTGCGTTTCCTTCTGGAAAGCAACCTAGTAGAACTGTAGGTTGCACAATTATTTCGAAAAGCAGAAAAAGTAGGAGA